TGAGGAGGGGAGGGCTGAAATCTGAGCTTTCCCCACACTTGGGTCCTTAGGGACTGGATTGTCGGGGGCGGGGGGGGGGGCACTTTTAGCCGATGTGATCTCCCATCCAGAAGGGCCACCTTTCTCTAATTTACAGAGGCACTGTAGAGGCCAGTGGTGGCCTGGGGAGTGGTACCCTCTGCAGAGCTGAGTGCAGGAAAAGGGTCAAAGATATTAGGGGAGCCAGGCTGGTGTGGCTTAGTGGTTGAGCATTGAACCATGAACCATGAGGTCATGGTTTGATTCTGGGTCAGACATATGCCCGGGTCAGACATATGCCCGGGTTCCGGGCTTGATCCCCGATCATGCAGGAGATATCCAATCAATGATTCTCTCATCATTGATGTTTCTATCACTCTCTCCCTCTCCCTTCCTCTCTGAAATCAATATATATATATATATATATATATATATATATATATATATATATATGGAGAGAGAGAGAGAGAGAGAGAGAGAGAGCGAGATAGATATTAGGGGAGTTTATGACACAGTGGGGGCCTCAAGTGACACGGCAGAAAGGTTGGTGAGAGAGAAAGAGGAGGAGAAGTACTGAAGTGTATGGAGGAGGAATGACTGGAGGGGAAGTCATTGTCCACAGACACTGTGGATGGTGGGCTCTGAGGCTGATTCTAAAGGTATGAAGGGAAGCCTCTAGCTCCCAGGGCCAGGCGGGAGCTGCATAGAGACCCCATTTGGGTGGACTATGGTGGTCCTTGGATATCTGCATCACTCTCACAGGATGCTTATTAAAAATGCCTGTTTCTGGACCCCACTCCAGATCTAAGGAAATGCACTTCTGGGTGACATTAGTCAGATCCATGGTGATTCTTATGTACCCTGAAGTCTGGGAATGTCTGACTGGGAATCTTGGTGGTCTTGGGCATGTAGTTGGTGGTGTCCAATGAGGTGACATAGATACAGAATCCAACATAGGGCCTGCCTGGTTGATGATTAGTTGCTATACACACTGCATTCCCTTGATCATACCAGTGACATATAGGAGGGTGTATAGGTGCAGGCACAGTCTGTTACCAGTGTAAACCAAAATTAATTTTAGACTGTATTAGAGAATAAAAAATATTTGAGCACAAAGGAGCTGCAGGCCTGGAGACACAGAGTCAGGTAGCAATTTAAATTTCATTCCACTGAGACAAAGGGGAGGTACCTTTTATAGAAAAAGTTCCCACCAGGTTCTCAATGAGGTCCGTTTTATGTAAATGAGGTGTCCAAATTGTGCAGTTCTGATGGCACAGGGCAGGTCTTAGTACATTGGTAGAAAGACAAAACCGGGGCTGCCCTGCAGTGGTTGACTCAGACAGCATAAACAGTGGGGCATAAAGAGGAGTTCAGACTGAGGTTCTTCCTCGTATACAGAGTATGTCAGGAGCCCCTGTCAGCAAATGGCCACTAAGCTCCTATTATTTATAAAACTTGGGCCCTCAGTTGACCATAGGGCATCATCTCAACAGATAAATTCCTTCTCAGAGTCCACATCAATGAATCTTTCTTCTCGGGATCCACATGCTGTCCCAGAAGGTGGGGCAAATATGACGTCACTTTTCCCATTACAATACCTCTCAGTCACGCTTCTGGGAATCCCCTTGTTGCTCTGGTCTCTCCTCTCGCCTTTCACAAGTCTTGTAGTCTTTCCTTCTGCCAGTCTCTCAGGGCCCTGTTGCGTGTTTGAGGGCCGGGTTCATCCTTGCGGCACGTGTAGCACCTGGACAGATAGCACTGACTGCCTCTCCTCACCCCCTTCAGTATTTTGCTAACAATTCACCTCTTTTCTGTGTCTCATTGAAGGCTCTTAAGAAGTGGGTAGAGGGAAAAAGGAAAGAAAGGGGTGGATGAAGGGACAAGCCCCCTGCCCACCTTGTCCCCTAAATCTTACTCATACTTTAGGCTGGTTCATGTCCCACCTTTGGCAGCCAACCCCTCCAGCCCACACCAATTGGAAACTCTTTTGAAATTTGAATTAATTCCACTCACACTCAAAATCAGAATTTGAATGAAGCAAATGTGTATGTAGCTGAGCTGGCCCTAGATGCTTTGGGCTATACAGATAAAATATATCAATGAATCGTAAAGGGAAAACTCAGGCTACATTCCTTCATGGTATCAATCATGGTATCAGTCTTCAGCAGACAATCATGAGGTGTGCAGGTTCCGGAGGGCAGGAAGTCCATGCGAATGTCAGTAAGGTATGAGAACAAGTAACAAGCAAATAACCCCCAAACCCTTGACCCCCTTTAGGTGTTCAGCCATGTAAATGAAGTGACATGAAATCCTAGGGCTCGGGCAGTTGAAGGGAGTGTGGTGGTGGTTTAAGGAAACCAATGTTAATGTTGTTAATGCTAATTTAATGGAGACTCCTAAAACCTGCATTTGAGTGCCCACCTGTGGTTCTGATGCTCTCAGGCACGCAGGGGCTAATTTGGGGGTGGGGTGGGAGTGGGTAGAGGACATGGCAACCTGCCACCATTTTACAACACTGAGTGACTGTGAAGAAATCATGAAGTCATTGGCCTTTACATGATGGGACAAGAGTCTGAGTAAGACACCATCCTGTTCTTTGGGGCTCTCAGGTGACCTGGAAGAGAGGCATGTTTAAGGTTGACTCACAAAGCCACAATGGAGATAAGAAAGGCAGTTCCATGAAAGAACAGGGAAGGGAGAAATTAAGTTCAAAACACCTTCTGGGCATTGGTTTTCCCCTCCCCAACTAGATTGCAAGTTTTTGGAGGATAAATATTGTACCTTCCCCGCCCCCCCGCCCTTTTTGTCTGTCATGATACTTAAGATGCCTGCTGTTGAGCATAGAGTAGGTGCTCAATATTTGTTCACTCTTACTAATTTTAATGCCTGCAGGGCTATAACATACTCTGTGTATATTAGGTACTTGGTTTTTGTTAAATGAATAAAATTAATTTTCTCTTTCTTTCATTCCAATACTTTATTTCTCTCATATCTCCCAAGGATTTGTATAAGAAATTTTTATTAGAATGAATCATGTGATGATCCATGACATTAGAAAGAAGTTTAACTTTATAGACAAGAAATTTCACTTACAAAATCAGCAAAGATGAATAAAAACAAGGTAATTCCCAATGTTAATGAGGTCACAAGTAAGTGTAACGTTTATAAACTGTTAAAGGGTGAAGAATAGTTCAATTTTGGGGGAAGGCAACCTGATACTATTTGTTAATAGCCTTAAGAATGCACATATCCTTTGACCTAGATATTCGACTTCTGTGAATTTACCCTAAGGAAACAATTATGACTGAGTGGAAAGAATGACATGGGAGGAAGATAATCATAGCATTGTCCATGGCAGTGACAATGGAAAATATCTTCAATGCTAGCAGTGAGGGACTGTGTGTTGAGTATCTTGAAGCAACTTAGATAATGTGGTAGAAAAGTATTTGAAAAATGGGAACATGTTAAGGGTGAATTAAGTGAAAAAGGAATTACACACAAAATAAAGCAGCTCAGAAAGCTAGTCTGGTAGGAATTCTGGAATTTTTTGCCCTTTGCTTTTCTTTTCTGTAAAATGGGGACATTGCTATATGCCCTGCAGGGATTGGTCATATGTAGTCAGAGCACTTGGTTCTGAGCCTGATGTGTAACAGATGCTCAGTTAGTAGTGGATATTATTACCTAATTTCTTTAAAAAGGAAAAGACGTATGTATATTTGCACAGTAAAAGAAAGACCAGTAGAAATTACAGCAAAATATTAGCAACTAGTTTCTAACTAGTGATATTGTAATGATTTCCCCCCCTTCTTTGGGATTTTCCCTTTTGACAAATTTTCTACAATGAACACTATAAAAATGATATTAATATTACTCAGAAACAAAGTACTTAGAAAAGAAATGTTCCTGGGCTTGTATTAAAAATAAAAGAATTAAAGAAATGAATTACTAATTCTTGTGTGTCAGAATTATAAGAAACCTTAAGGATTATTTGTTTAACCTCCTTTTATAGTTCAGGAAACTGAGGCACTGAGAGAGAAAGTGACTTGCCTAAGCTTATACATAAATTACTCACATGTTACACATTTCCAGAGCCAGTGCCTTTTCAACCACACTAGTCTGCCTTTGAGGACATGGGGCTCAAAAAGAGGGGCTCCTTTAGGTCTGGATGTACCTAAAACCACTGGAGTCACCAGTTGTAGGGAGCGGCTCTAGGATCAAGCCTCAGGCTGACCTGTGGCAGGGCCACAAACAAGACCCAGCCTGGAGGGCAGAGCTCTCCTAGCATAATTAAGCCTGACCTTGTAGCCCTCCTTAATTCCTTCCTAAGTAGCTAATGGGCTGTGGGAGGTGCAGCAAGTGTTGCCAAAACAAGAACATTTGTATACATGTTAATCTACCCTTGTTTTAATCTGACTATAAAATAAAGCATCGGCTTGTAGGCTGGGTCTTTTGTGTCCTCATCCAGGCATGGGAGATCCACCGAGCCCCAGCTGTACTCTCTTGTCTGTCTTTTCTTCAATCCTTCACCACCCCTCCTCAGGTTCACCCTTGGCCGTGCTGGTGTGGCACAACCAGTAGAACCCCAACTCTCCTAAATTCCCCCCAAGCTCCCAGGGGAAGTCTTCTGTTTCCTTTCCTCTCCCCAGGCAGGATAGTGTCAGACAGAATCCACTACTGGAATTTACTCCTTTCTGCCATATAAGTTTGAATAAGTTCTTTCTCCAAATTCTATTTCTTAATTCATTAAATGGAGACAGAAATCCTTTGCATAATTTCCAGCCCAGCTCTGTCTCCTGGGTGCCAGAACCATCTATTCATCTACATGTGGATATCTCACAGGCACCTCCAATCCCACATGTCTAACATGGATTTATTGTTTTCCCTCCAAACCCGTTTCTCTTCCTGTATTTTACCTTGGAAAATGGCAGTAGTAGTGGTGAATGCGGGACCTTGGTTCTTGAGTTTAGTTAAGAAATAATTCAGTGCTCTCTTCAGCAGCACATATACTAAAATTGGAATGATAGAAAAGACTAGTATGGTCCCTGTGCAAGGATGGCACACAAAGTCATGAAGCATTCTGTGCCAAGCCAGCTCAGCCAAGGGTTCGAAAGCCTGAGTGAGGGCGACAAAAGGATGAAGAAATGATAGACAAAGAGAATAAGCTGGGTCTAGGTGGATCTTCCTGCGCCTGGCTGAGGCCACAGAGAGAGAGATCCAGAGGCAAGCTGAGCCTTTATTTTATAGCCAGAGGTAAACAAGGTAGTGGTCACCATAGTTACAATGTTCTTGTGAGTTTCACTTGTTTTGGCAGCACTTGCTACATCTCCCTCAGCCCATTAGCTACCTAGGAAGGATCTAGGGAGCGTCATAAGGTCAAGCCTAATTATGCTAAGAGGACTGTGCCCTCTAAGCTGGGACTTGTTTGTGGCTTTGCCAACAGGTCAGTCCGAGGCTTTATATATATATATATATATATATATATATATATATATATATTAATAATTCAGAGTCAAGAGCTCTAATGCAAGAAGTTTACTTAGGAAGTCACAGAGTAGAAGAAATGAGCCAGCTAGACTGCATGGGCTCAGGAAACAAGTTACAGAGGCAAAAGAAGGGCCCTTGGAGCTTAGGAGAAGGAAAGCAAAAGTATGTGCCTGAGAAAGAAGGCACAGGCATGTGGGAGAGATAAAGGGGAGGGGGGGATGGGTCCTATATCTTAAGGGTTTTTATCTGTTTTCTAAAGGTGGGGATTTTAGGGGTGGTATCAGGGGAGAATCTCAATAAAATATTCATCAGCTTTCCAGGGTGGTCACTACTGATTGGTCAGCACTAGGATAGGGAGTCACTAGTCATTGCATCTGGTCCTGATGTCAGCCATGGCCTTGCTTCATCCAGATTTGCTGCTTTTCTGGACCTGGAGCCAAAACACAGCTGAGGCCTAGATGTTATCTCTAGTTTCACCAACACTCGGTCTCTGTGGTCAACAGACCCAAGGTTTTGTTTCTAAGATTATTTGATGTGGTCAGGACCTCATGGTCCTGAGGGCTTAATGCTCAAGGGAGTGGTCATGCAAGGGCTTCTTAGGGAGTCCTATTAAGTTATTCTCAGACACCTTGTTTGTCCTCTAGGAGGGTCTAAACCACATGACTAATGACACACTAGGGGAGGAAAGGTCCTAGCCTGTAATAGTTGTTTTCTCTAGTTTTTCCCATTGCTAGGCACCTGGCACATTATGTCCTGGTGACGTTCTGTACCTGGCCTATATATAGTTCCTGCTCTGCTCATTCCTGTCTAACTGCCTACTCCATCAGCAGCACCAAAATTCAGGATATCATTATCCATTTAACCCCTTACTGATTAGTTGGTAGGCCTTGCTGAATAAGGGATAGATGGGAGGAAACATGAAAACAAACCAGATTGTCTTCAAGGAGCTTATCTTGGGAGAGGGTTTGAGGAACACCAATCAGGTGGGGAGGGAGGGTCACCATAAGCAAAGGACAGCTAGGAGGCCGTGGGAGTTGAGGTGAAGGGGAGATTAGTTTTAGCGGGAGCTTGGCAGAGAAGAGGTGGCATTTGATCTGGATCTGGAGGGCAGTGTAGGATTTGGACAGGCTGGGAAAAGGAATTCCGGACAGGAAGGCACAGTGGGGGAAAGGCCCAGGGATGTTCAAGGAGGAGTTGAGCCTGTGGGAGAGGGAAGGAGGGTGATAGTGGGAGACAGAAGAGGAAAGAAAGGCTGCCGCGGGCCTGGGGAAGGCTTTGACCTTCTTGTACAGGCCTCCTGACTGCAGAGCCCAGGGCCAGAGCGGCCACAGGTCTGAGAAGCAGGGCACAGAGAATTTCAAGGACATCGTTTCTACTCTTTGGGGCTGTTCGTATGGAAAATAATAAATAAGTAATTACACAATAATGAACTCTGTTTCATGTACTCACAGCTGTAAACCTACTTTTGCCCCACTCTATATGTTTAATTCATTCCCTGAGCCTCAGTGAACACTACTCTGTGACAGCCTCCCAGTCATGTGGAGAGCAAGACAGGCCCTGTCCCCATAGATAGTCTAGTGGTACAGACAGACAATTACACATTTTCCTAAAGGCAGCCTTCCTCGTTGTGTAAGATTCAGGCCCCATGGAACTTGGATGTGCCTGGAGCTATGAGATTGAGCAGTGATTTCCAGCTGGTCTGCAGGCAAGAATTTTTAAGACATGTAATACCTGACTTTTTAGTCAAGGGCCCTGACCCCTTTTCCCTTACATTGTCTAATAAAACAAACGACAACAGCCAACACAACAAGAGCTCTCTGGTGTGAAAGAATCAAAACTATACCTATGTTTGTTTTTTATCAGATCAACAAAAGATGCAATGTTTTTTGGCATGTCGCAGACTTTCATTAATTAGTTTATGTGTGGCATGACATGAAAAGGTTGGAAATCGCAGAGATGGAGGGTAAGGAGATAGGGAGGAAGCCTGCTGACATGGACAGTCCACCCTGAATCTCACCCGTGTGCGTCTCAGTACAGCCGGTTGCACCCATTCCCCACAAACTCTGACCTTGTCACCTGGTACTCCACATTCCCGAAGCACAGGAATTCTCCCTCTTCCGCGAGTGGCTGAACCTCAGTCACACTGCCCGCCTCTCGGTTTCTCCAAATTCTTTCCTGGCTCAAGGCCTCTCACATGCCATTGCTGGAAGCTGTCCCCTCAGCTTCTCGCATCGCAGGCTCCTTCTAATATTTTCTGGTCGCAGATGAAATGTCACCTCTGTCACGACTGGAAGTGCCTCGCGGCCTTGCTGATACCTGGAATTGTCAGACCACTGGCCACAGCAACGCAGACTTCTAACTTTTTCAGGTCTAATTTTACAGGCCAGATTATTAAGAAACTTGCAGGACATAGTAAGTAAGGCCTTTGAACTTTGTTCTAAATGTGATTGCAGCCATTGGAGGGCTTTGAGCAGGGAATGACACAAGCAGATTCATGTTCTACAGTGACCCTGCTGGCTGCTGCATGGAGACGGAACTGTAAGGGGCTAGAGGTCAGCTAGAAGGAGAGAGGTTATGGCGTTTGGATCATGGTGGTAGGCACAGGGAGGGAAGTTGTCAGATTCAGAGTACATTTCAAAGGTTGAGTCACAAGAATTTGCTGATGGATTGGATGTGAAAGAAAGAGAAATAAACTTAAGTTTTCCTCACCATTCCCTTCATTCTCTATTTCTGAAACTCCAACTGGGTGTTTATCAGATCCTCTTAATCCATCTGCCATGTTTTTTTTTTTTTTTTTTAATCCTCACCTGAGGATATGTTTCCATTAATTTTTTAGAGAGAGAGGAAGAAGGGGGTGGAGAGAAAGAGAGAGAAAGGAACATTGATGAGAGAAAGAAACCTTGATTAGTTGCCTCTGGTATATACCCTGAGGCCCTGACCAGGGATCAAAATCTCAACCTAGGTATGCGGCCTGACTGGGAATCGAACCCCACCTTGGCCAGGGCTCCATGTGCCATCGTAAGTAATCTTTCATACCTTTGATCTCTTCGTGCCCTGGCTGCATTCTTTCTAATTCTCTCTCTGCCTGAGACTTTTGTGAGTATTGAGTTTTTTAAATTTAATGACTATATTTCCAAGATTAAAATTTTTTCTCATGTCTACCTGTTGTTTTGTTTCTTTTGAAAATGTTATTGAGAGGTCAGTGTTGACCTCTCTAGGACTGATCCTCTATGGGTGGTCCTCCCAGAAAAGGAGTGGGCTTCCTGCAGGGACCCACAGGAGCTGTGCCCATCAGGCCTGGACAGGGCCGGTGCTGCCCCAGCCATGGGTGCCTGCCGCTAGGTTGCTAGGTCATATACTTGCAAGCACCCAGCTTGGACCCCAGCCTTGTTCACACCCAGGAGTACCGGTGTACCTCCCACCAAGGACATGGATGCCAGGTTCTACCACATCCTTCTGCCGTCACACACATCGCAGCCTCTGGTTGTCCCAGGAAGAAGCTGGTGTATACCTAGTCAATAGCTTTAAGGCCCCTCGGTCTGAGAGTCACTGTCCCTCTGATGTCTGATGTCTGTCTGCTGCACCTCTGGGTGCTGCCCTAGGAGAAAAGGGTCATGGGGGCCTTCACATGCCCTCTTGTTCCTCTCTGTGAGCTCCCAGTGGGTGCTGATCTTTGGGCCTCTGCATGTGCTGCTTGGCCATTGCCCTAGTTTGCACGGCAGACGTTATGCCTTCATTTCTCTCTGGAACATCCTCACTTCTGTATATCTATTATGCTGCTTCCTAGAATTAATGTCATCTGGATTGCTTCATGTTCAGATTGCGAATGTTTTTGTCTGTTATACTTAGCCCCTGATTTCTTCATGTGTTTTGTAATTTTAAATATGCAGGTTCATTTTGAATGGGATGATTTTGGATTTTTTTTTTCTTCCCGTATGTCCAACTCCACCTGCCTAGGGTTGCTCCTCTTGGCCCCCTGAACCCTTTGCTTGGAAACAGTCCTTATGCTGTTGGCTGGTGGCTGGTGATTGGAGATAATGTATCTCTTGGTTTCCCCTTTTTATATTTTTCCTGCCGTTGCAATGTGTTTGGAGCAGCTGGGGTGCAACAAAACCAGACCCATTGTGCTATCCTGACCTAACAGATAGTCTTTTAATCCAGGGTGGGCACTTAACTCTCAAGCGGTGGCTCTGAAAACCTCATTGATAAGGCTTCTTCCAGAGCAACCACGCCCTCTGGTGGCAGGTAGGGATATGGCTGGCAAAGAGCCACCCAGAGGGCCAGGGGCATGACCACTTGTCTCCTTCTGTGGACTCAGAGCTGGAAGCAATCCGAGACCACGAGACCAACCTCCCACACAGTACGGCGTCTCATTTCCAACACACCCAGAAGATGGCCAAGGTCAGTTCCCTGTTCAGCAACCCACTCCATGTCTGGACAGCTGTTTTTAAGGAGTCGTTCTGTATTGAGCAATTAAGTTTCTCCCTATAGCTCTCACCCACGGGCCCCCTCCCTGTTTCTCTCAGCTGTTTGAGGCAGCATTAGACTTCTCTTCTCCAGGCTCCCTCCTTCCGCCTCCGCATCCAGTCCGCTGCTTTGTTCT